GTGGGTTAAGTGCTCAGCTGCTAAACGAAAGGCTGGTGGTTCAAAGCCACCAGCCACTCTGTGGGAGAAAGATTTGGCAGTCTGCTTCCATAAAGATTACAGCCTTGGAAACCCTACGGGGCAGTTCTACCCTGTCTTATAGGGTAGCTATGAGTCAGAATCGACTTGACAGCAGTGAGTTTATTTGGAATGGGACTTGTCCCTTCACTGTATTTTCTAACAGGTGACTGCAAGATTAAAGGAAACTGACGTACATAAATCTTAAAAAAAAAAAAAAAAAAAAAAGATTCTTCAGAGGTTTCGAGGTGAACAATCCTATCACTTGAACAGACACAATGCTCATAGACAGTCTTGGCATGGACAAGGAAGAAAGGCACTCGTATACTTCTGGTATGGGTATAAACTAGTAAAGGCTTTCTGGAAAGTAATTTGGCAAGGTATAAAGAGCTTTTGACTCACTAATTTCGCTTTAAGAATATTTCCCAAGAATATAATCAACCAATCAATCATATCATCTGCAAATAATGCTAATTTTGGCTTATTTCCATTATCTGTAATTCTACATTTGAGAACACTAGTCAGGGTGTCTGGAATAATTTTATATAACAGTATTCCTAGAATCCTTACTTTTCCCTAATTTTTAATAGAAATGTCCCAGAGTACAATAGTTTTTAACTACTTTGTGATAATGATTATCCTTAGAACTTGGTGAAAAATATGTCCGTCCACCCCAAAGGTATCCAAAATTGTGTTATAAACGATTTCAGTGGTTTACAGACCATGGGAAGATATCTATACACGCTATGAACCTAAATTCTAGCATTTCATCAGTAAAAGTGATGAAGGCTGTTAGTCTGAAACAGAATGAAGAACAAAGAAAAACAGAACAAAGAATATCCATATACCCATTACCCAGATTACTCCACTGTGACCATTTACTCCATCTGCTTTCTCACTGGTGCCCTCCCCTCTCTACCACCCCTCTATCTTTCTTTCTAAATATAGATTCTAATATAGGATTGTTTCACAGATAATCTTTACATATACATAATTTTTCCTGAACTATTTCTTCATAGCCCTTCATCCCTAAATACTTTAAGCATCCATTTCCTAAGGGATACTCTCTTACATAGCCACAGTACAGTCAGCAATGCAAGTAAATTTAACATTGATATAACACTTTAATCTATCATTCATATTCAAATTTTGCCTGCTGACCCCAATAATGTCCTTTACAGTATTTTTTCCTTGTCCAGTATAGGACCATGTTCAGGCACACGTACTGCACACAGTCAGATCTTTTTAACCTATTTTAATCTAGAACACTTCCAGAACGTTTATCTTTTGACACTGACATTTTGGAAAAATACAGCACCCCCTCACCCTTTTAAGTGGAATGTTCCTCATGTGGGATTTGTCTGATGTTTCCTCATGATTACATTCAGATTTGCAGTCTCAGCTGGAATACTGCATAGGTGAGGTTATATCCTTCTCCAGGAATCACATCTGGAGGCAAATACGATGTCCATCTGTCTCTCATTGATAATGTTAATTCTGATCCCCCAGTCAAGATGTTGTTCAATTTTTCTGCTGTATAATTACTGCTTTTTATTCTCGCTTGTAACTAATAGGTAGTCTGTGAGGAGACACCTTAAGACCATGCAAATACCCTGTTCTCTCTATGGTGCGGTAGTCAAGAGCTATAGCTTCTAATCAAAAGGTTAGCAGTTCGAATCCACCAGCTGCTCCTCGGAAACCCTATGGGGGCAGTTCTACTCTGTCCCATAGGGTTGCTATGAGTCCGAACTGACTTGATAGCAATGGGTTTTGTTTTTTGGTTTAATGACTCCTGCCTGATCCTTTGTATGATGGTTACAAAATGATGATTTTCTCACTCTAGCACTCCCTCTACATTCAGTAATCAGCCTTACCCAGTCATTCATTCATCTATTTATTACTGCTATGGACTAATGAATTACTATTGTTTTTCAATGGTTTAAAGTTCATTACTGTACTTAATTAATTTGGTGTTCAAATTGTCCCAGAGGTGGCCAGTGGGAGCCTTTCCAAGTTGGCTCTGGTGGTATGCCCCCATCATTTTCAGAAGCATTTCTTTACTTTCTGGCATAACAAGATGTTCCAGGCTCATCTTGTGCCCATCTGCCCAGCTTTGCAGTCAGTCATTTCTCCGAAATGCCTTGGTTTCTCTCAACTGGAAATGATGTCAGAGATCAAGACCTGAGCACTGGATCTGCTTATTACTATCAGGTATCTTTGCTTCTTGGCTCTTTCCGTGGGCAGATCCAGAAACTACATGCATGTGTATACATAGACATACATGTACATATAAACACACACATACATATACATAAGAACATAAACACGCATATTCACATGCTGTTGTTGCTGTTATTGTTAGTTGCTGTTGAGTCAGCCCTCAACTCATGGCAACCTCGTGCACAATGGAACAAACTGTTGCCCAGTCCTGCGCCATCCCCAGGATTGATTGCAGATGTGACTGTTGTGATCCAATGGGTTTTTACTGGCTGATTTTTGGAAGTGTATCACCAGGCCTTTCTGCCTAGTCTGTCTTAGTTGGGAAGCTCTGCCGAAATCTGTTCAGCATTATAGCAACATGCAAGCTTCCACTGACGGGTGGTGGCTGAGCATGAGGTGCGCTGGCCAGGAATCGAACCTGGGTCACACATACACTATTAAAATCATGATTTCACACTGATACCTCATCCATCTCCACAGGGTTCCCTCCCTCCCCCATATTTGTATGTTCCTTCTTCCACAGTGAAAACCTAGGCTCCCAAAACAGCCACACGTTTACTCATTTGCTTAATCTTATAATAAATCTAAAGTTTCAGAATTGTTATGGTCATACCTCCACAATAATCAGGTCTACTAAAAAGGGTTTAGGAGTTGTTTGCAAAACCCAACCCCCTCTTCCTACCCCATCCGGCCCATACTGAAGGTACACAGTCGAATACTACATTCACAAATTATTTTGGGTTAGCTCTTTCTTTTCTTTACAGTGAGTTATGCTATTCATTTGAAATACAATTTGGTTTATTTGCTTTAGTTTTTAGGTTGTAACTCATTCTTTAACAGGTATTCTATTCTGTAGAGAATACATAAGATAGAATTAAAAAACCCATTGCCGTTGAGTCAATTCTGACTCATAGTGACCCTACAGAATAGTGCCCCCAAATAGCAAATCACTATTTCAGTTAATTTAATCAGTAGTATTGTCAGAGCTGGTAGAAAATCACAAAAATCATTGATAGGAACATGAAGGACTTCCTGATAATACAAACTGGGGAAAAAATACTTACCAGCTGTAGTAAGTGAACATTGTCTGGTGTTTGCTACATTAGTTTGCCACAGGAATGATGAATGATTAAGTCTAATCAGAGCGGACAGGGACACAGCAGATAATCAAAAAAGGTCAAAGGGGAAAACTCACCTTTTCCAATGTGCCGCCTCGTGTTTTCAATAGTGGAATTCCGGTTAACGTTGGATAGCAGCCCAAGGCAGAAACGGTTCTTGTTGTTGGAAGGATCAGTGAAACCGTCCACCAGCACACTTGTGGAGGAGGCATGGAACGCTTCACCCACACGATTGTTCAGCTCATAGTAGACAATAGAGCACCAGTGTTTCGGTTCCTCATAAGCAACTGCCTGAACATCTGTAAGAAAGAAAGGCTGCAGTCAATCAGGGTTAGCGCCTCCAGCTCCCAAAAACTCAATCTGTGTTGTAAAACTGGCTCAGGACCATGGAATGAAGATACGGAAAATCAATTGCTAACAATGTAGATAGTTTATCTACGATGTCTAACGCAGGCACTTCTTACTAAGTGTGACATTCCTGTAATTGGAAATTTCTCCAATTACTACCAGGTAACCAAAATGCCAGCTAAGCAAGCAACAGTATTTGCTAAATACCAACAATATGCCACTTGCTATGTAACGTGCAGAAACAGAAATTACCCTTCCCGCAGACCCTGGCTCACCATCTAAAGAAATGCAACCAGCAGCGAGTGAAAAAACTAAGAGAACAATAGAGGAGAGGAAATATTCAAAAGGTGCTGGCATAAAAAGGATTCCTCTAGGCAAAGCCTTAGGAAGCTGATGCTTTTTCAAAGCAACAATAATCAGTTTCTAATTATTGATAAAAAATTACTTCACATTTAGTTGCCAATAACTATCACGGCTACAGCTTTGCTCCAGTTCTCAAAACCAGGAAGAAATCTTGCCAGCTGGCCATTCTTACAGAATGAATCATATCTCTCTCATCCAGATTTCATGCTAACTTCCTTATATTTGCTTTAAGTCATGCAGAGCAGGTGTGTTTTGTCTCTCCATTACCAGAATGGGCCAACAATGGAAATTACCCAACTTTACTGACAGGATGCAGCTTGTTAAGTCAAATCTCTTAAGACCAACAAATCTCCAAACAGAACATGCTTCTAAATATTTGCAACTAAAAGGTTTTAAAGATAAGTTCCTTCTGTAGTAAAACCTCTTATAGCATTGCTTTAGAGATTCCAGGAATACAACCCATTGTATATCCAGTGTGCCAATATGTAATGATCTGAGGTGTATGAAGTCTTGGGTGTGCAATCATTAAAAAAAAGAAAAAAGAAAGGAAATCCACATCAGAAGCATGGACTACAACTGATAAGGGAGAATTACCACTGGGTTCTTAAATCAACCCCACAAATATTAAAAAGCATTTTACTTTAAAATTCAGTAAACAACACAAGGAAAATGATTATTTAAAAATCCACAAATACATCAGTTGTTTGATATGCTTAAACAAGTGAGCTGAAAACACACACACACACTATTGTCCCTATTTGCTAAACACCTCTTCCATATCAAAATACATTTCAAAGAGCAAAACTGTAGTGATTTACAACTGCCAAATCTTGAAGAAGCCTTCAACATCATTAATAAAAGGTTCTTACTAACTACCAGAATTGTTCAAAATACTACTTATCTAGGACAGGGGCTGAGAAATTTTTTCTATAAAAAGCCAGAAAGGTTTTGTGAGCCATATGGTCTCTACTGCAACTATTCAACTCTGCTCATGTAGCAAAAAAGCAGCCATAGATAACATATAAATAAATAAGCCTGTGTTCCAATACAATTTTGTTTACAAAAACAGGCAGCAGGCTGAATCGGCCTGTGGGCTATAGTTTGCTAAACTCATCTAGGAAAACCACTAAAGGTTTCAAAAACAAAAAAAAGGGCCAATATTCCTTCCTCCTGAAAATATTAACTGTAAACTTTTTCTAGTGGAGAAAAAAAAAAAATTTTTTTTTTTAAATGATTTGGGTGAAAGTTTACAGAGCAAATTAGTTTCTCATTTAAATAGTTAACACACAAATTGTTTTGTGACATTGGCTGCCAACCCCCGCAATGTGTCAACAGTCTCCCTATCTCCACCCCAGGTTCCCTGTTTCCATTCGTCCCGTTTTCCTGTCCCTTCCTGCCTTCTCGTCTTTGCTTACGGGCTGGTGTGCCCATTAGTCTCCTATACATGGTTGAACTAAGAAGCACGTTCCTCACGTGTGTTATTGTTGGCCCTACAGACCTGTGTAACCTTTGGCTGAAGGGTGAACCTCAAGGATGACTTCAGTACTAACTTAAAACGGTGTCCTGGGACCATACTCTCACAGTTTCTCCAGTCTCTATCAGACCAGCAAGCCTGTTTTTTTTTGTTTTTTTTTTTAATGAATATTTTATTTCACATTTTTCTCCTGCTTTGTTTGGGACCCTCTATTGTGTCTAATGGAGAAAATTTTAAAGGCTATTTAAAGGACATGGCTATTTCTTGAAATCAGCCATTTTAAGACACAACAACTAAATTGGTATAAAGTGAAACAATAGTTACAGGGTCCACATGCTCCTAACTGTACAGTAATGGCTGTGTTCTCTTTTGCTCTACTGGTCTCCAAATGCAAATTCCAAGGATGTGTGAGATAGGGGTTATTTTCCCCAACCAAAGTCTTTCATTGTTGGCTCGTAATTACATGTTTGAGAAGGTGTTCTAGAGATGATCAGGAACCATAAAATACAGAGTCAATAAAAAAAAAGATATAAAAACACTGCCTTTGCCTACGGAGCCATTACATACTAGACGTGTATCTCTGGCATGAGATTCAGCTCATTCCCTGATGGAGGGAGTACAAGGAGAGAATTCCCCAAACCATATCAGTGTAGGCTGCAGAACAAAGTTTTATAAGTAGAAAGGTATACATTCTATTTTACCACACTGCACACCTAAGAAAGGTTTTTTGAGTTCATGGTCAAATTTTACACACTGAAAAATTATAACCAACTCTAGCAAAGACTGAATTATCTCCTAATGAAATAAGACGTACCTAGGAGTCCCTGGGTGGTGCAGTCGGTTAACGTGCTCAGCTGCTATCCAAAAGGTTGGTGGTTCAAGTTCACCCAGAGGCATCTTGGAAGAAAAGCCTGGGGATCTACTTTTGAAAGGTCACAGCCATTGAAACCCTATGGAGCATAGTTCCTATTCTGACATACGTGGGGTTACTGTGAATCTGAATCCACTCCATAGCAATTGGTTTACTGGTTTAAGTACTCAAATTGTAGTTAATGTCAATTTGCATAAACTATATACAAATTGAATGATCCACGCTACAGGTTCATCACTAACGTACTTTTTCCAGCAGTGTGGTTATGGCATCATACAGATGCTCAGGGATTCTCCCAAACTCATTTACTCGAGTTCTCTGCTCACTTAAAACCTACTCAACTTTCCACTGCAGACCTGGAAGAATGATGCCATCCTCCCTTCAGTTACTTCCACGGGAAAAAATGCGCTTGGGAACAAAGACCCACCTCCTACCAGACAAGGAAAGAAATTTTCAGTTCTGCTTATAACGTCTTCAGGATAAGAACAGGAAAAACATGTGCCTCTGAACATTTTTGGCAACAAGGTTGTTGTTGTATGCCACGGAGTCGATTCTGACTCACAGCGATCCTACATGACAGAGGAGAACCGCCCCTTAGGCAGTTTTTTTTTTTTTTGACATTTGAAATTCACATAACTTTATTATCTGAATTGGGTTTCCCAGGCTGTAATCTTCACAGAAGCAGATCGCTAGGTCTTTTCTCCCTTGGAGTCGCTGGGGGGTTCCAACCACGGACCTCTCTCCCTTAGCAGCCGAGTGTTTAACCATTGTGCAATAAGGTTAGAAATAAATAAATATAGCAAGAAAGAAACAAGTGCCATCAGTCTGTTCCAGTTGCAGCTATACACAGAAGGGCAGAGAAAATAAATGAGGTTTATGAGTTTATCTACTCTAACTAAAAAAAGAAATGCTTTGGAAAGCCCAGCTATATGAACTTCCGATTCTGGAAATCACCAGTAAAAACTCAACTTCAGTATTGTTATGCTCATTATTTCATAAAATCCCTCTTTCTCTTAAAAATACTATTTTTATCACCATCTCAAAATTATCAAGTATTGTAGATCTATACAAACGACTGCACAGTTATACTCAAGCCCTCATTAAGTCAAATTTTTTTTTTTTAAATAAAACTTATTTGTTGTCCAAAGACTTCTTTCTACTGTGCTTTTCTTATCATTGTGCTCTACCTTTCTCAAACAGCTACCTTTCTAAAGATTAATAAAAACTTGTGAGAGAAATTAACATTTGGAAAGGTGAACTTTAGCTTCTAACAAGGGAATAAGTGGCGATCCATTTTACCTCCTCTGTTGATTTCTGTGGGCAGTGAAGGCGCCATCATATTTGTGTCCATCGGCTGTGAGCCGTCCTGGGTCATGGGGTCTTCAGGAGGCAGGTAAGCAGGTGGGGGTGTGTCAGCTACAAATTTTAAAAAGAAAATGATTTCTTCATCCTTGATAAACACACACGCTTAAACGTATATTCTCTTTTGTGCTGAAATACTTCGGAAAGCAATCAAGTTATCATTTCAACTTGATTGATCTCCCTGTCAGAAGATTGGCTACTATGGACACTAGACTTGACATACAATTTCAGAAAATAACTGCTATTCTACAATCTTATACATTTTATAGTGAAAACTCAGTGGGAGGAAAAGTACTAGATGCCAATTCCAAGAAGTGGTCCACCTATCCAGGATCGTGACATTTTGAAACAATCAGAACAGCATTTAAACACAGTTTCACACAGTCCACTTTGAGAGGGCCTCTGCATTTCACAGACAGACGGAAAACCTCCGAATGCTGCATGGGGCTTCTTCGGAAAAGCAGCTTCAAGGTGTCTTATATGAAACCTACGGTTCTTAGGAATCTACCAACTGAGTTTCATTATAGCCTACTGATTTACACTGTTACTTTCCATGACTTCAAGCAATCTCCCCACCCACTTCAGTAATCACTAACCTTGGAAACCCTCGTAACAGAATAATAAGGAAATAAATCAGTTTACCACAGCTATCTCCTATTTTAGAGTTTAGATTTTTTTTTTTTTGAAAAGCACATAGCCAGTTGGCAAAGAAAAGCCCATCTAGCATACGCGACCAAAGCTTGGGAACAAATTTTTACCTTAGGGAATCATGAATAACTGGGATGAGTAAGACTATTCAGGGTAACTGTTGAATACAAATAGCTAATACTGCTGCTTCAGTTTTTCTCAGTGACTTCCATGTCTGAATCTCAGCTGAATCACAACTCAATAACTCCCACCATCTAGCTGCTAACCTTGCTAACGAGCAATGACTCAAAGCACAGGATTACAGGAACCTTATCTGGATGCCGTTTTCACCCTTTCCCCAGCTTCTCTGAACTCAGCTTCTTCCCTGCAGCTGTGATGCTGACTCTGATTTACCTCCAGCCAGGAATGAAGACAAAGAGCCTCCTCTGAGACCACATGTAATGAAGTTCTTCTGTAAACCAGCTGGTGGATATTTCATAGGCAATCGATGGCATGGTAGGAGCACCACTGAGAGGGACCAGATCGTCACTGCTAGTACTCTATTTCCCTAAGAAGCTCCTCCCACTCCTTGTAACTTTCTCTTTTCCATACTTCCTCTACTTGGCCTATGGCTTAATCATTGACAGCTAGAGACAAAAGTGTAAATTCAAGTGATAATCTTTAATTTTTTCCACTGTTGGGCCACCCTGGGTTTGCCAAAACTAAACTCCTCACTACTAACCTACCCAGCAAATCCAACGCATTTGGGAGAGAGTGGGGTAGGTAGGAAATATCAGTAGATAGGATAATATTAGTTGGACTTTTAAACTAATCTATGTCCCAGCCTCATCCTAAACAGCTCTGCCTTGAAAAACAAATAAAACGATGCAAAATAAACAGGCTTAAAATAAAAGCAATCAATCAATCAATACATGCAAGCCAGCGATATCAAACCTGGACCACTTTTCAAATTTTCAGGACATACCAGCATTGATGTTGAATTCAAATTTACTTAAAAACATTTCAAGTGGCCCAGTCATTTTCCCTTCTTGAAATGCTCACAGATATGAAGTGTATCTTTGTTTAGAGTATCCTTCTTGAGGTCTACTGGCAAGCAATTTGGCACTAATTATTATTTTTTTGTCTGAGATGCTTGCATATTAACCGATAACTTGAAAAACATAATGTTCTAATTAATCATTTATTTTGATAAACATTAAACCATCAGTTCAATCTTTAAAAAGAAGGTAATTGTTTTTGTCTTTGCTAAATTAAACAGATGGTTTCCAATGCTTCTGTTGCAATTCCTTTGATGTTGAAGTATATGTTTCTTGGGATTATATCACCATTTAAGTGAATTTAATTAAGTAGGGGGGGTGTGATCCCTCAGGAAATAAGTTTTCTGAGGTTGCACTTACAACTGGGTTTCTTCTATGTATGAAAATGATGTTGATCAAGGTTGTACTTCTCATAACAGCAAATGTGTATAACACACTATTTTTCTCTTCCTCTCTTTTATCAAGAGAAGGACTATAACCATTATGTCACTTCCAGAATGATGGAGCTGTTTCAAAACCTTTTAAAATCAAGGAAAAATATACAGCTTATTCCAGTACCTGTGCCTAACAAATAAAACAAGAAGTGTGCTTACTTGGCTACAAGGTCTTCTTTCACCAAAAGTCACACCGTAAGAGTACTAGAGCACAGTGCCACACACCAGGGCTAGGTCTCTCCCTTCCAGATCACCCCGCTTCTCCCTGACACTGGGATAACCTGGTCTGATCTAACCATAGCACGCGCTGAACATTTCAACCTACCTGGCATCTGAAAAGGGCTTCCTGGGTCTGAGCTGGCGGGAGAGTGAGGGTAGGTGCTACTGCTGCTTCCAGGAGAGTTTGGGTAACTGCTGTTGGGTGAATGAGGAAATGGATGGCTGTTGGGTTGCTGGAAAGAATCCGGAAAAGTGGCATTGAGTGGCATGTGAGGCTCATTTTGTCCTAAGTTACGGAACTGAGCTAAGAGGCTGTGCTGAGGATTATATTCGCTATGTCTTGGAACCAGCACTGGAGGAAGAACTGGGAAAAGGGAAAGAAAAAAAGAGACAAAAATGAGAAAGATAAGAATCTATAATTATGTACAATAAAGTTGAAACATGATTTGCAAGTGACAACAGATTATCTGAACTCTGCCTTGCTGGTAACTCAAAAGCACCATTCAGATGAGAAGTCATTTTACACTCAGTAACAAATACAGTCTCTTTAGAATCATCAGTGACACATGCCTGAGATATGCCACTTTGATAAGCTGCCCCTGGAAGGTCTTATAAAATACATTCTTTTAGGTTAAAAAGGTTAATGTCCTGCCATTCTTAATTTTTTCATTCACTAAGAACAAAACAAAAACATAATTTAATGATACAGACCATCACTGACAATTCCAGTTTGCAGCTCTGGCTGATAAGATTTTACATTTAAGAGCTAATATTTATTGATCAGTCTTAGAAGAAATAAAACTGGAATGCTCCTTGGAAGCGAGGATAGAGACATTGGCTCACTTACTTTGGACATGTCATCAGAAAGACCAATCACTAGAAAAGGGCGTCATGTTTGGCAGAGGGCCAGCAACAAGGAGCGAAACCCTCGATGAGAAGAACTGACACTAGAAGATGGTGCAGGACCCGGCAGCGTTTCATTCTGTCGTTATACATAAAGTCGCATGAGTCGGAGCTGACTTGACAGCGACTAACAGCAACAGAATTTATTGAATGATATGAATTATTCACCACAAAACTTTTAAAATTGACACACTAACACTTCAAAAAAAAAAAAAAAGTGTAAAGACCCTACAGGACAGAGTAGAACTGCCTCATAAGGTTAACCACTTAACCACTTTATTTGTAGAGGGGGGTAAATGCAACAGTATAAAATTTCAACGCCAATGATGATAGTTAATTAGACAAGATATGATGTTTTGTAGGACAGAATTTATGTCGTCCTAGTAGTCATGCCTTACGAAAATCTTTTCTCTAAGGATCTTAATGTTTACTCACTTCTGACAGTCTGATAGACCAAGGAAGAAACAGGTCATGCAATCACATTTTTCTTAGGAATCTGTTGAGAAGCTAGGAAACCAACTCTCATGTTGTTCCTAAAAACTCTGTATGTTAGGAACCTAAAGAGTTAATAATTAGGATGGTCATCAACCTCCAGAAACCCGATGTTTTGAAACCTCAGGAAACCTGACCTGGAGGCAAAGCCACTATAAACACAATGCTCATGAAAGGGAAGGGCAGAGGAATAGTCACAGCCCTACCCAGGGCTGGATCCTAAGCTTCTCACTGGGGTGGCCAGAATGCTCTTCCCCAATAATAAAGGTCTTTGGAATCCCTACTTCTCTGATGGCCCAGCTAGGAAGAGAAAAACAACCCGCTAGTAAACTGCAGGGGAGGAGTGAGGAAGAGACTGAAAATCTGTTATATTCTTGGTTGCCAGAATGTGTCTTCCCAAGGAAATACTATTTAGTGGTATTGGGAATCAAGCAGACTTTTGAGGGCTTTTCAGAAAATCTATCCATAATTTATATCATTGCTATGGGAGAATGTGTTCCTAACACTTGGATTATCACTTATACATGAGCTGAAAATTGTTAAGTAAAAATAAGTTTTGAAGATAGTGAAATTTCTCATATGCTGTATCTGAAATTTCTGCAGAATCCTGTATCAATAAGATTTGTTGATTTCCCTGTTATCTGATCCCTTAGAAAGAAATCTTCTAGTATAACAAATGTATTTCTTTTTCGCAGTGGTGGAGTCTGTCCAGACCAACCTCAATGCGTGATAACTTCCCCTTCTATCTCTCAACAGTCATCTGAAGTGTAACCTACTTTGTTCTGCTGAAAACAAAAAACCCTGAAAGTCATAAAAGACTCCCCCTACTCCAATAAGACTCTGTATTTCAAAACAAATACATGCTACGAAATAGTCAAATACCTTTAACTTTCCTATAAAAACTCTTCCTTTCTTTTAGTTGCTGCAGCTTTAGTTCACATCTCCCAGCCTGCCTTTTTATAGTCATCTAGCTCTAGCCTCAATTCTGATTCTTATCCTTAAAAGAGGGGCAACACTGGCCCCTAAACCTTCCCCACAAATGTAGTACCAGACATCAATGTGAACCAGTCAATCTCCCATCTCCCCAAACCTTCTGGAGGACCCCCCCAACCCCTGCCACCATACAGATTCTATTACCAGAGCCCCTGTTTTAGTGGCTCCTATTGCCACTGCTCCTACTCGTGGCAACCCTGTAGGACAGTAGAACTGCCCCATAGGGTTTCCGAGGCTGTAGTCTTTATGGAAACAGACTGCCACATCTTTCTCCCACATAACTTCATATAGCTATTATATCTTGTTAAATTTACTCTTACATATATTGTCATTTTTGTTAATATTTTAAACGGAATTTTCTCTTCATTGTCTCTTCTAACCGATAAACATGAAAGTTACTGATTTTTGCGTGTTACTTTCATATCCTATTATCTTGGCTGAGTTCTTTTGTCGTTTAGTTTTATCACTGATTCTTTATAGAGTTCTCCTGATATATGATCATGTCACAATCAAGTAGATAACAGCTTTCCTTTTCCAATTGTTTTCTCTTGTCTAACTGCATTGGCTAATGGTGGCAGTTAAGCAGAGATAACCGACTCCTTGACTTATTCCTCACCCTGGTGAAAATGCCTCTAGTCTTCCACGTTAGGGCTTAAGTACAAATGTATTATCTTAAAGAAGAATCCATTAATGCCTGTATTTGAGTGTTTTTATTAGAAACGGGTGTTGAATTTTTGTCAGAAGCTTTCTTAGCCTTTCTGAAGATACTATTATGATTTTTCTTCTTAGACCTATTAATATGGTGAATTATCCTTGAATTCCTGGCATAAATCCTACTAGGTCATGATAAACTATTCTGATCACTGGTTTAAATATATCCCACAGATTCTATTATGTAGGTGTTTTTGTGATCATTTCCCAGAAATCCTGCAGTTTTTGCTTATATTTTCCCATTAATTTATGAGTTATTTAACAGAAAATTTAAAAAAATTTCCAGGTGGAAAAGCTTATTTGCTTCCAATTTCTACTTTCATGGGATTGCTATAAGAATGCTGATTATAATATTTCTACTTTATGAAACTTTTTAATGTTTCCTTTGTGACCTACTATGTGATATATTTTTGTGAATGTTCTTTGTATACTTGGAAAAAAATCATATTTTCTACTTAATCAGGGTGCAGTGTTCAATATTTATCCATTAAGAGCTACCTTATTGATAATGTTGCTTAGGTATCTGATATCAAGGGTCAGCACATTATTTCTGTAAAGGACCAGAGAGTAAATACTTTAGACTCTGTAAGTAAGCCATATGGTCTCTTTCATTCAACTCTGCTGTTGTAGTGAGAAAGCAGCCACAAAAATATGTAAACAAATAGGCATAGCTGTGTTCCAATAAAGCTTTATTTACAAAAACAGATGGCAACTAGATCTGGCCTGCAGACTATAGTTTTCCAATCTCTGCTATCATTAGTTATGTTTCTCCTACCTGATCTGTCTTGTATTTAGATTGCTGTGCAAAAGTTCCTATTATCAGTGTGTTTCTATTTGTTTTTCCCAACATATCCTGTAGTTTCTTCTTTATATAGGTGGTTGCTGTGTTATTTGGTACATAGATATTCATTATAAAGTGTATACAGTCAATGCTTTTTGGCCTGAATTGTATTTCATTTGCTATAGGAATTGCAACCTTTACCTTCTTGTTTCCATTTTGTCTGGTACGTTTGCTAATTCCTTTATTTTCAGTCTTTTAAATGACCTTTTTTGGGGAGTGGATCTCTTGAACAGGAGCCCTAGTGGCACAGTAGTTAAGAGCTCGGCTGCTAATCGAAAGGTTGGTGGTTGGAATTCACCAGCTGCTCCACAGGAGAAAGATGTGGCACTCTGCTTCTGTAAAGATTTACTACCTTGGAAACCCTATGGGGCAGGTCTACTTTGTCCTACAGGGTGGATATGAGTTGGAATCAATTCAATGGCAATGGGTTTGGTTTTGGTTTTGAGTCTCTTGAATACAGCATAGTTTTGCTTTAAGACTCAATCTGGAAATCCTTTTAATAGGTGAGATAAGCCCATTTACGTTTATTGATATGACTGACGTTTGGTTTCAATTCTGCCATTTTATTATATAGTATAGTTACTGTACTATATTACATTTTCTGAATTTCTCTCTGTGATATAACTTCTCTGTCTTCCGTTTTGGTTTGTTTTTAAAGAAGCTCTGAATATAGCTTCGCGTTTCTCTTTTAAGGCTATTTTTGTATCTGTACTTTTTAGTGTTTTCAATTCCCTTCTTCCCTTAGCATTATACTGCCTATCTGGTTTGTCAGTTTTAAATGGTATCCTTTGACTTCCACCTATTACTGATATAATAATCAATAATTTTAATCTACTTTGTCTTTTCTTTATTGCTTTGATGCCAATTTTTAAAGTTGTACTCTTACTACTGTGTCAGAACATGTAAGGTTTACATACTATTCTTTCATCCATGTCCCCACTCTTCCTTTAGTCTTGTCTTTACCATTATATATTTATTAAATACATAAAATGCTCATCACAGTGCTTTTGCCAAAGTTTCCCCGGTTATCTCTTAGTTGATTAACAGCAGGAACACACTGGAACAGCACAATTAAAACTTTTTCTGTAGCCTGGATACCTGAAGGACAGCTTGGCTTGCACTTGCTTAAGTTTCTTGAAAACACTTTTTTTCACTGTTGAATAATTCTGTATGATGCTTTTGAGAAGTCAGACTCCAATTTTACTTTCTTACCTTTGTTAAGTAAATGTGTTTTTTTGTTTTTTTTGTTTTTTTTTTGCCTAGAGGCCTTGGGGATTTTTCTTTAAAGTCTAATAGTTTTATAAAGATATGTTTCAATGTTGATTATTATAGGTGATGGCAGGGCATTTCAATATGTAGAATTCGGTTTTTCACTTATTTCTAGAAAGTCTTCTTAGATTATAGTTTTAAATATTAGTTCTATT